ACTAGAAATATATCTATACACATTTCGATATCCTCAAAAATAAAACTCTCCATCCGTTTTATTTCAAATGTACTTGATGCAATAAAGTGTAATTATATTCATTAATAAATTGAAATTGAAACTCGTCATTATTCGTTGAATCAGATAAGCTTAATACAATATAAATCAATATTTTATTTATTGATATGTTACAATTCAAACTCACATGTGTTATATGATTCAGATGAACCTTGTAAAATATATAAACCGGATGTCTCATAAATAACACGGCAATAAGAAATTTAAGTATCTCTATTCCAACTCGAGGAAACGAGCTGATTTTTTGATCATTGATAGACACATGTGCAAAGTTTATATCCATAAAGACATGTCTAATGAGACTCTTTGTTAAGTATCACTATTGACCTCAACAAAAAAATTTTACTTTTTCACATATAGGAAAAAAAATAATATATATTTAACAATGGATGTTTTTAGGTATGTTTTTATGAATGTAAAACTTGAACAAGTGTCTATCAATGATCAAAAAATCAGCTCGTTTCCCCGAGTTGCAATAGAGATATTTAAATTTCTTATCACCGTGTTATTTATGGGACACCTGATATATTATTTATTGACTGATTTAGAGTTGAATTCGCTGTGATTTAGTGGAAGTGATAATGATAACAGTAGCAATTTATTTTTTTTCATCGGGTAAGAATTTAATTTACCATCAGTTGGTTGGAAAGATAAATCTATTGCTAGCAATATGAATTTTACATATAGTTAAACTTAAGCTCTGGGATGATTTATTGCGAAAGATTAACTGATTATCAGAAGTAGGTACATGGGTTGAAAGATGAACACGAGACTGAATTTTTAATGGTCGGAGGTAAAATGAAAAGATATTTCTGTTTGTGTGTAGCGAAACTCTCGCTCCGGTTCTTTCATTAAATTAATTTAAAGGTAAAAGGATGTCGAAGTATTGTGGGACTGAAATTTGTGGTAATCGCTTTGTGTTGCTAGTTGAAAAAATAGATTTTAATAAGTATCAACTGGTTATGACTCGCAGTCCTCTGTTGAGATTCGTGTAGAGTACAGAGTTAGGGTGCATGATATAAATGGAACTCATTGTTATTACTTCAGAAGATGGTTGTAAAGAAGGGTGTGGGTGTTCTTGGTAGACAACAACGTCCGCAGCCCATACTCATACCCACACCCATCCACCATTCTTCATCATCGAAGCCAGATGACAAATATCAATTCTATAACAGCAAGAGAACCAACGTAGCTGTCTTGTCATTATTTTGCAAACTATTTAACAAGCCATATACTGCGATAAGATTAGGGATCCACTTTCAAGCTCACCATTAAGACCAGTGAAAGCCGATAAACTGATGAAGAACCTACGATGACGACTGGTTTTTTCTATTATTCAGACGCCTCTCTACTAAAATAATTCAGCACTGCTAATGCACTGGTCTTCATCGTAGATTTTTCGTATTCTTACCGGCTTCACCGTTTTCTCATCGTTACATTCCTAGATAAGATAAGATTAAAAAAAGTGTTCTTGCAGCATTATTTTCATAGTGTTATAAGAGTAGGCATGCTAGTCATATTGTGTGTAGTTCGATAACTTTTTTTTTAGTGAGCTCACATATGCATTCGTTTCTTCAGATTTGTTAAGCAAGATAAAATGACTCGAATTGTATCGATGATCTGGTATTGGTCTTTACCTATTTTACCATTCACAGCCATGATCACATTTATTCTAACATTAGTGGTGTGCAGCCAAGTATTACACAATCCTCGGCCAGGAGGAGATTTTCCGCAAATTTCTCTACTTGGAATTGGTCCTGCTTACAATTATTTTCTTTCTGGCTTTGTCATTTTATCTGTACAATTATTATTAATTCTTGTTGGTCGACTACAATTTCTTTGTCACTCTCAATTTGTCATTCATCGCATTATTCTATATGTTATTCATGCTATTGCCCTTGTCTCGGGTGTATTTCTTCTAATTATGGCTATCGTGAGTTTAGATGATGATCGCCGTCTTCATGTAACGGGTGCTTTTGGAATGTTTGGATTTCTTTCGTTGTATTGTTTATTACATACTATTGTTGCCTTCTATCTCTTTATACGACGATCAGCAGCTCCTCAACATTCGAATATTCTATGGCCGTTGTGGTTTCTTATCTGTAGTATATTACTTATCGTCTTTGCCAGTATATGGATAATGAAAGCTAAAACTCTTCCACAGTACATTGCTGCAGGTGTGCCTTTTCTATATTTTCTTGCTTTCGTACCACAGTTCTGGATGCAAGCAAGAATGAAAAGACAAGATAGTGCCTTAACTACACAAGTCTGTCGCTTGAATGAAATGAATTCACTTAGGAGTGGCGAAACGTTCTGATAACATTACATAAAAATATTAAAAACAATAGAGATTTTTCATTTTATTTTATACAATGTTTCAAATAGTCGCAATAATTATTTCTATAAAGTTCTATACTTTCTAATAATTTGCCGAAAGTTTTTAAACTCTTCTTCTGGAATATTTTTAATTATTTTGAAAACCGGACGAGTCAATAATTTTTTATTTGTTTGATCAGTTAAATTGTGCTTGATGTAATCATTTAGCCAAAAATCATATAGTGCAAGTTCTGATGAAAACGATGGGTGCGGGTGTGGGTGTGGATGTGAGTATTCAATTGTCCATCAACATCCACATCCACACTTCATTTTATTCCATTCGACTTAAATACATAGAAAAGATGTTTTTATTTTCACACATGTTGTATACTATATATGTACTGATTATTTTCTGGACAAATTTTACGTTTCTATTATTCAGTTTTATTCATCTTTTCTATATTTGGTCTGGTCATATAAATTGAAACTTTATTTAGTTTTAAAAAAATAAAAACTACAATAGGTTGTATGGAATAAAATGACTGGTAATAGTTCGATATAGACGAATACGAGAACACGAATAATAATTAATACTTGAAAAATCGCGATTTCATGAGCACAGTGCATCTTCCAAGATTGTACGAGCAAAAACTGATCGATATGAAACTTAGCCAGAATACTTCATACTAAAAGGATCAAAGCTTGTTTTAATAGAAAACTTTTTTTTTTCGAAATGAATAAGTTAAACATATGTAAGAAAAATAATCAACAGAAATCACTCAAAATTCTCGACCTTATCATAAATCTGTTTTCTTCTGTTTGTGACTCTCTATCGTAAAAAAAAATTCAAATATATTTTTCTTCAAAATTTATCATAAGAACTGATTGTTATGAGGTTGTATATAATTATTGATCAAAAGAGTGATAGATCTATCAAAAAACATTTTGGTTATAACATATGCCTGCATCATTTGGTTACACATTTACAGTCAACATTTCTGTTTACAATAATTAGATGGACTTTTTTACAACTTCTAAATTAGTATTCTTTTCTTTTATATCTATATAATTCATTTAAGTTCATTTTTCGTTTCATGTAACATTATTAAGTCAATTTAATTATTGTCGTCAAAAGTGTGAAACAGTAGTTATATTTCAAAATATCTTTTTGATCCTTTCTTTTTTTTTCGATTGGTTTCTAATCCACAGAAACAAATCGTATAAAGGCTTCTCGATTCAATTCAATTCGATTCAACTTCGTTAAAAAATAGTCACCATTTGATTCGGTTCGACAGCATCTCCGTTCAGATTCGAGTCAATTTCGGTCTCTGTAATGTACAGAATGTGTTAGCCACAGAATAAAAGTAATTAGTAAAAAGGATGTGAAATTGGGTAAGTGTGGATATGGGTGGATGTAGGTGATTTTAGCTCTGACTATGAGAAGATTGATACCCACACCCACGCACTTTCTACGTGTATGTGCTTAAATATGTGTTCGTGCCCACTCAATGTCGAGAGATATGCTTAGAAAGAGGTATCTTCTGATGAAATATGCAGATGTTATGTCTATATCTGTTATAATGGAATTATCTGTTAATACGTGCTTTAGTATCTCTCACATCTTTCTATACTTCCATAGCATTCTCGATTGCTTGAATATGTGACAGTGCTGTAAATCGGGGACGATCAATTGTACATGTACATCCCACTATTTAGAAACTCATCCTTAAAATTGATTAGTGTCAGAGACTCAATATTAATTTTTTTCTTGAACCATAACCGTGACCGTATAGGTCTATGGTGATTTGTGTTATCGATTTTCACCAAAAAAGAGAAAGAGGTGGATGAGACTATTTAGATACTCATGTAGATAATCTATGAGTTAACAATGGAAATTGTGCTTTCTATGCCATATGTCAATTTAAAAATGGGATTCAAATCATGTTTTTTTATGGTATGGAATTGATTTAATTACCACTCGTCCTGAGTAATAATCAACAGACATTGTGTTTTGTATGTTTTTAGGACAATCAAAAACTATTTAGTTTCAAATTGTTCTACAAAATCTTCAAGATCCAGAACTTTCAAAGACGGAATTTTGTAAAAAATGACCAGAGATCCATCGATTCTTCTGTCTTGCATCAAAATATACTTCATCGAATGATATTACGTATGTATTTGATTATGCAACCAAACGTGAACAATAATACTAACAGAATCAAGTGGCAATTCAATGTGTAAGTTGTATTTCTGACTTATGAATAAATGACAAATAATAAAAGATATTTTCAAAGGTTGTGTTTTTTTGGATGAAACTTAGTTACCAAATGAAAGGAAAATGGTATTGAAAGTATTGCATCAATATTTAGACGAATGTAAAGTAGCATTTATCGCGATAGCAACCAAATCGTTCGATGCTGCAAATGTAAATCGAATGACTTGTGTCTACCATTCGATACCGTCGAAGGATGGATGATCAAAAAATTTTAACATATGATTGTCTTGGCCTACAAAATGAACAAAAAATTACTGAAGATTTAGACAAAGTGATTTCATGTCTATGTTAAGATTATCGACGAGTATTAGAGAGTCCTGTCATTCCAAAAATGTTTCTTGATCGAGATTTTATAAATATGTTGTGTGAATTACGTTTTGAATTGAGTACAAGTTTGGAAAGTAAAGAGATAATTATTAATAGAATTCGTCTGAAAAGTTTATTGTGTACATTAGAAGATAATTTCAATGAAACAACTAGCGATGAATTCGACAAATTAACCGAAATTTTCTTTAAAACCATGCAAGAAAGAAATCTCGATTTTGAATTGTCACAAAAAAATCAACAGAATGATGCTGATCGTAATATTATAACCATTCTACAAGATTCGATGAAACTCGATTCAGTACGTTGTCGTCTTTATGGTCGTTATAAATGAATTATTGATGAGTTACATTATGAAAGTGCTATTCATGTCTTATTTCAAACGGGTATCATTGGCCCACATCAAACGAAAGTATTTCGAATATCAGATTTTTTTTTTGGATGATATTCATAATGAATTTTAAAAAATGTTGAAATATTATCAACGATTAAACTATGCATGGAAACAGGTAAAACAATATTAATGGTGAATACAGATCGTATACATGGTTCACTCTACAATGTATTCAATCAGAATTTTTCAACTATGGGTGCAGGTGAGACAAGAAAATTATTTTCAAAAGTTGCTATTGGTTCAAAAACAGTCGATGTTGTTGTTCATGAAAACTTTCAATGTATCCTACATATAAATCGAAATGTATTCACTGACATATCGGCATCATTTCTAAGTCGTTTTCAAAGATATTCATTGAGTGTCAATAATTTCTATCGTATTCAATTGGAATGTCTTTCTGATGAAGAACGAACAATTATGAATAGTGTTGAAGTTAAAATACAAACATTCATTCAACATTTCGATCAAAATTGCTTATACGGATTAACTAATAATAGGATGGGTGTAGACGTGGGTATGGGTATGTGATGTGCGTGTAAGTGTAAGTGTGAGTTTTCTCTCCTCCCACATCCACATTCACATCCACATCCATACCCGCACGCACCCTCACTCACTCCACACTCACACTCTAGATAGGTTTACAAGATTAGTCACAAATACGTACTTTTAAGCATGTTGAGGTATCTATAATGGACAGGATTTTTTACACTTTCTTTAGCTTTAAATCTAATCAAATAAGATTTTCTTACTCAGTTTTTCATGCTGATTCAGACTATGATATTTTTAAAAAGTTTAACAAAATAAATGTTCTTCAAATTTAACAATTTCTGTAAAAGAAGCACAATATAGCTGCATATATGACATTTGTAGTCATTCGACTTTTTTAGCATTTTTCTCAGCCAAATAGCGGTCGAATCGAAATAAAACATATATATTCGTGATCAGCTTTTCACACTCTACCAAGCCATATATAAATGAACGAAAAACAAAATCCACCGAAATTTTCCATTTCCCCGACCTTACCTTTCCAGCCTGTGGGATCTAGGGATCTTCTTCGATTCCACTAACTCGAAAGACCGTCTTCATAGAGAACAGTATTTCCTTTTCTGTTTCGTCCAGCGAGCCAACAGTGTTGTCTGTGACGGCAAACGATGCCTTCTTGGTCGGTGCGAAATCGATGTACATGATAAAAAGGATGCCGACAGAATCCTTGTTCCTTAAATCTAGTTTCGCAAAACCCATAGCTACCTGTTCGTCTTGGGTGGTCGACAAGAAATTTTTGAAGGACATCAGTCCTCTTTGTGTCTGGCACACTTTCTCAAAGTCATCTTTGGATAAATGTTGACCGCGATAAACACGAAAAAGTTTTTTCGAATTAGCCCTCCATGCTTTGTGCAGGCATTCTATCTGCCAATGAAGGTGTCAAATGAAAAAACTCATGTTCATGATGATGTCGACTTCGAGTAGTCGTAGAGGGAGTGTCCGCTTGTTAGATGTTTTTTTCTCAAGTAGAATTTACAAGACCACCGGAAATACCCGTCTATTATATTACACTACTCACAAGCCCCATTCACATACACAAACGATGCGTTCATGAATATTATAAGCAGCAAAACCATCTGAAGGTCGCGAAGACAGGCGGAAATCAGATAAAATTTGAAATGATCTAGCTGCTTTTCAAGTGAAATCGTAGCGTTTTTGTAGGAAGTCTGTAAATTTTTTGGTAGAGATTTTCACCTCTAAACACGTGTAGTAACCCATGTCGATTTTTAGCGTTGATCTTCTCGTTAGTTGCATACTATTAGATAAAATCGCAGAAAAACAACAACTAAAAGAACTGTCCCAACAATGAGAGAGGTTTACTAAATCGTGTTTTTCCCCAGCTTCAGTTCTTTTTGACATTTTTGTCATCACAATCACAACGTTTGAAACATATGTAATCTATCTAAATAAGCAGTAAACAGTTCATAAATACTATATTTATTAAAGCATACATCATATATTTTTATAAGAGATCAACTATTGATCGTCTATTGAATTTTTGCTTTATTTAAACTTTCATAGTTTAAAGGAAAAAATTTATTTTTTTATTTATTTATCATGTTACAGGAATACATGAAAATAATAATAAAAGATGAATATAATAATACAATATAAAATAATAATAAAAATAATAAATTTAGCTTTTTCCTTTTTAATTTGTTTTTAAATTTTACCATGTGTTGAATTGTCGGTCCTATTTATACGATCATCATCAGAACATTGACCATGAGCAAATGAAGAAGATAATTCATCATATCATTGGACTTGGACCATAAGTGATGTTGATGACTATCATATTATTTTCACTATAATCGTTGTTGACACCATACCATATACTACCATGACAGCTGTTAACCACCATACCATTTACCATCATAACCAATGTTGACCACCATACCATAAATCACCAGAGTTATAATTCCACATCACCATTAATTTGAGTACATTATTCTCTAGATATAGAATTATTTTCATGTATTCCTGTAGCATGATAAATAAAAAAAAAACAATTTTTCCTTTAAACTATGAAAGTTTAAATAAAGAAAAAATTCAATAGACGATCAATAGTTGATCAGTTATATTAATATATGATGTGTGTTCTAATAAAGGCAACAAAATATTTGATTTGTAAAATAGATGAAATGACCAGTAAAAAACTATGTAAATGATTACTTAAAAGATTGAACGATCAGTACTTAGATTACCAGTAAATAATGAGAAAATGATCAGTTTATTATATAGAATAACAGTAAAAAAATATCATTTGAACCAGTAAAAAAAAGAAATTTGACAAGTAAAAAATGAAAATTTGATAAGTAAATAAGATAGATTTTACCAGTAGAAAAGAGAAAAATTATCCATAAAATATAGTATACAATGAGAGAAAAAAAATTGAAATGAGAAAAATCAGAAATAAATTATGGCATCAGCAAAGCACGTTTTGCTTTTGCTGGTCGACCTCTCTTTCTTTTCTCACCAATCGGCACGGTCTTTGTTGCCGGTGGTGGCTTACAAAGTTTTAAACGAATCTCCATTCCGACGATATGCTTGCATATATAATTTTTAAGAAAAGCTGGACAGGTGCATCTTGATGTTTTCGAATCTGAATCATTCTTAATTTCCAAGCACCAAATATCAAAAGACTTTTTGAACTGGTTGAAGGTTGTCCATTTTTTGTTGACATATGTGTTTAAATCAGCTTGTGAAATAGATTCTCAACTACGAGCTGGCATGTAATATTGATTGGAAACATCATTTTGAAGACAAATAACATCTTTTGTTGATTTTGCCCATTGATAAGATGAAGTTCACAAATTTAAACATATTGTTGGTTCTTTAGGAAAAACTTTTGCATTTGTTGAAGATGGATCACGTTCAATTGACCAATTATTAATTATATTTGAAGCTATCACTAAAAATCTTGATCGAACATGACGTTCTCTAAATGTACCATCATCTTTTATTACTTTATTGGTTGCCTCTAACGCATTGTTGGTGGAGGGTGTATAAAGTTGAATGCCCTCATACCAATCATCATTTAATTTGATCCATTCATTACCAAAATAATTTTAAAAATCTATGATTGATTGTTTTTTTTTGTCTGTTATTTATCTTCCACTTCTTCATGAATAATGTTAATGCTAATTCGAATACAGTGCTTGAATTAGATAACTGAAGCATTTCAATATCATTCATTATTTCATCAGCAATAGCTTTATCATCTGTATGATATATACGATTTTGAACCTTCATTTTCATGTGTGACCAACACATAATTTGATTATACTCATCTTTAAATACATTCTTAAAACCATTTTTAATCGAATCAGCAGCATCAGACACTAACGCTGATGGCTTAAGTAAATCTTTCTTTATTTTTTCTAAACCAATTTGTATACTATTAAAAATGAATTTGAAATCTTTCGTTTTTTCATTTGAACATATAGCTAAACCAAATGGATGAAAAACCTTCTTTAAATCAGT